GTGTGCTTGCCGACGAAGGGGAGTTCCCTATGGCCTGAGCTGAGAAGGAGCCAGGACCCCCGCCCCCTCGGGGGTGTGGGGGTTCTTCTGCAGGTTGGTTACTGCGGGCCTCCCACAGTTCTCACCGCGTTTCTTTGTCCGGCGGGGCCCTGGGCATGGGGCTGGGTGCTGACCTAGGAGTGTGGAGTGGGGCCGCACTCATTTACCCCAGGGCCTTGCGTGTGCAGTCCCCTCTGCTGCAATTGTGCCTCCCTCCACTTTCGGGATCCCACACAGAATGGCCCGAGTACCCCTTGCAGGGATTGCTCAACTCTGCGCACCTCTGGGGCTTTGTGAATATCACCTTGCAGCGTTTACTGCATTCTCTTCGTTCATACTCCCACATTGGACCGAGAGTAAGACCGTATCTTAAGTATCTTTGCATTGGGCGAGTTATTGAAACTCTCTGCAGCACTTTTCTCAACTGGAAAAGGAAGAGAAGAGTGCCTTCTGCATGAAGTGTGTGCATTACGTTAATTCTCCTAAGGCACTTAGGAGGGCATCTTGCACACAGCAGGTGCTCAGAAAATGTTACCACTGTTTTCCCTGTGCCTGGCACAAGCACAGTAAGTGCTCAATAGGGTTTAGAGTCAGTTTCACAGACTCATTCTTGGAGGTTTAAATCTCAGCTTCCTCAGAACTGCTGCAAGGGGATGGAAAAAGCCATATATATACTTGACTATGAACGTGTCCAGGGTTATCGCAACTGGGAACAGCACTCAGGAGTTCAAGTCCTGACTGCAGTTTGCTAGCTGAATGACCGTGGAAATTAACTTAATTCTTTATACTTCCTCGGCAGTAAAGGGCGGATGATGATGATGATGACGCCTGCTTCACAGGGTTGTAGTACATGCAAGTGATGCACAAGAGGTGCTTACAACAGTGTCTGTCCTGCAATAAGCTCCCAATTTTTTCTTCCTTTCTTATCCCAACTTCTCTTTGGAATGTGCTCTTTCTCTTCCGGTCCCAGGCGCTGCGGCGGGGCAGATATGGCCAAGACCAAGAACCACACCACCTACAACCAGTCCCGAAAATGGCACAACATGGCATCAAAAAAACCCGACCATAAAGATACAAATCTCCTAAGGAACATGCGCTTTGCCAAGAAGCGCAACAAGAAGGGCCTGAGGAAGATGCAGGCCAACAACGCCAAGGCCTTGGGCGCATGCGCTGAGGCTATCAAGGCCCTCATCAAGCCCAACACCCCAAAGGGCCGCAGCCACAAGCTCAGTCAACTTGCCTACATCGCTGACCCAAAGCTTGGGAAACGTGCTCATGCCCGCATCGCCAAGAGTCTCGGGCTGTGCCAGCCAAAGGCCAAGGCCACGGATGAAACCAAGCCTCAGGCTGCAGCTCCGGCTGCAGCTCCAGCTCAGGCTCAAGGATCAGGCTCAAGCTCCCACTCCCAAAGGTGCCCAGGCCTCAGGCTCGAGCTCCCACTCCCAAAGGTGCCCAGGCCCCCACGAAGGCTCCACAGTAGCGGACTCTGTCTGCCGATGTGAGGATGGAAGGACTGGTGTGAACCCTGGGCTGCTGTCTGCATGGAGCTGGTACCCTGTGCTCTTTGTACAAATAACCTGAGGCAGGATCTGTAACAAGAGGAGGGGAGGGGAGGGGAGGGGAGGGGCAAGATTGTAATGGCCCAGTATAGTTTCACACCCTCTACCTCACACTTGTCTCCCACTTTAACTTTTGCAAAGCACCTGTATATATTATCTCATTTAATGCTCATACCAACCCTGTGAGGCTCAGAGCAGTTACTGGTTTGCTGGAATCCTAAAACACTTTTTTGGTACTGTTTCATGCATGTGCATTTGGAAGAACGTGGCTTTTCATCGTATTTTTAAATGTATTCTACAACTTGTTTCCTTCACTTAACAGTACATCTCAGAGATCTTTTTATGTTATATCCCTCTTTTTAATTACTTCACAGTCTTTCGTACTCGAATTTATTTAACTGTTCTCCTATTGTCATACATTTTTGTCTCCTTTAAAGCAAAATTGTTTTTAAAATATATTGATTCTTGAGCACACATTGTATTTAGTTGTTATGCCTCTTAAATCTTTTTTTTTCATACATGCTAATATTTAAAGCCAAATTCTATGGAGTCTCCCTCCAGGCCCAAGGCTTTGTTGCTCGGACTCTGAGAGACAACAACTCACCAGGAAATAAAATCCTTATGGTCAAGAGTTTCCACCCGGCTTCAACTTTCTCTCAAAAACCAGCCCAAACTCCAGTAAACTGTGGGACTAGAGTCCTTCCTCTGGTGAGGAAAGGCTGGGAGAGGATGCTCAGTGGGGCTGCAAAGGACTGATGATGACTTCACCCTTCAGTGGCATTGGAGTCAGAGGGGGTCTCTCAGACAGCCCTCCCCCAGTTTCTCAGCACCCCTGCCCTTGTATCCACCCCATCCGGGTCCATCACACACTTCACCCACGAAGAACTTATTTAACTGCAACCTCTTGCCACCAAAGTAAAACACACTCACCTACTATCAGATGCACTCCTATTCCATTAAAGCACCCAAAAAACCCTGGCAGTTCCCAGCCCTGCTCTCTCTAGGGATCAGGCTCAACTGGGGGCTAGAAGGAATGCCAGGAGGTCATGGGCACCCATCATCACATAGGGGACGCCGAGACATCCAGTTCTAAAATGTAGCTCTGCAGCCAGGAAGTTGCTTATCTTCCCTGAGCCTCAGTTTCTGCATTTGTCAAATAGAAACAGAGGAAGGGGAGCGAGGATCCAGGATGTATAAATCGGGGGAGGGGGGCATGCACACATCACATGCAAAGCTCTCAGCAATTGAAGCTGGAGGTGGGGGTGGGAACCAGGCCAAAGTCCTGCATTATCTTCCTTGGGACGGATGGAGCTGGTCCTGGAGCAGAGTTCAGAATGGGAGCCTTTCCCTCCCTTCACCTCCCCCCCTCCCCCAGCCTCCTTCCTGGAAGAAGATATGTCTCAGGACATTGATCATCTCAATGCTATTGCTTCAGGCTGTCAACTGAGATTTCCCTCGCTCCCCTGCCTGGAGCAGTGCCTGTGCAGAAGAGGCGCTTGGTGTATATTTGTGGAGAATCAGTGAATTCTCCCACAAGCCCCAGTCACGTGAGTCAGTCCCACCTGCTTTCTGAATGGACACCTGAATAAATAAGATAGGTTCCTAAATTAAGCACTTGGCTTTTTGCAAGGCTTGGCATCTCTCCAGCCTAAGTTTTCCTGTGTGAATCTGAAAGTAAGCAAGCCCGGGACAAGCTCCACACGGGGAGCAACAGAGTCCTGTTCCTGCTGGTCCCAGAGAAGGCACTAGAAGGGGCACGACACTCAATAAACGCTGCTGTTCACACAAGCGCAAACCAGAGATGCTTTTGCGCCCTATCTAGAGAGCTGACATCTAGGTAAGGGGGGAATGGGACTGATCCCGGTCACCAGGAAGGTCCCAGGCATGAACTAAACCTCTGCATTACTTAAAAGCTTTAGAACAAACTTAGTCCGGTGGTTACAAATTGACAGTAGCGCAGCCCTGCCCTCTGGTGGCCACCAGTGCAGTGCCATGGAGGAAAAGCGGAGATAACAATTTAGGGGAACAATTTTTCATTATACAAGTTTTGTGACTCCATTGTAGACAACTGGGATGACATAAAATAAAAGAATAAAGAGTAATCATATCACGTGAATACCCTCAGCACTACTTGAACTTCCAGTCTTATGCCTATTTTATGCCCAATTCATTGATTCAGTTGTGTCTATGGTGAGCCTACCACATCCCAGGCACTGTTCTAGGCACTCAGTGGCTGTGAAGAAAACAAATAAAAATCACTGTCTTTGTGCCACTTAGATTCCGCTGTCCTCACTCTGTATTTATGCTGATATTTTCACTTTTATCAGAACCTGTGTTGCCACCTACTCTTCATACAAAGCAATGCTGATGGCTGTGATTTTCCTGTCTCCGTGTCCTCGCCACTGGACGCCTGAATGCTCCAGGCCTGAAAAGTCAGGGCCATGATTACTATCTAAATCCTGTGCCTTCACTCAACAACTACCACCTGCTGCCATTATATTCTAGGGCAGGGGTTCTCAACCTTGGCTGCACATTAGAATCACCTGGGAATCTTTTGAAAATCCTGATTTCTGGGCCTCGTCCTCCGGAAATTCTGTTTCTTTGTTACTAGTGTTGTAGCCCCACCTCATACAAAAGAAACAGAATTTCTGGAGGAGGAGGCCCAGAAATCAGGATTTAAAAAAGATTCCCAGGTGATTCTAATGTGCAGCCAAGGTTGAGAACCACTGTTCTAGGGGCTGGGGATACAGCAGTGAGAAGGGCAGGGAGAGCCTGCGCCCCCTATGGGAAAGCACTGTGAAATGCATCCTCACAGGGATAATTATAATTCCATTGTCATACATGGACATATGAACAGGTGCCCAACTTTATCTGACGTCATCTGAGGGGAGGTCTCCTTTAAACTCAGAACCCAAGGAGTCATCAGGCTGGGGCCGGGCAATGGGAGAGCAGGTGCGGCACCTGGAACTCAGGCCTCACAGGACTTTGAGGCCAGTTAGGAGGTGGATTGACCCTCAGGGCAACATGAAGCCACTGCACCGTTTTAAGCACTTTGTGCAAGATCCTGTAACAAACATCACCTGGAAGAAGAGCCCATTCATAAGAGTAACACAAAGAACAAACTGTTTGGAAGTCACTTATCAAGAAGCATGTAATATGTATCTAAAGCTTCACTGAGGGACAGAAAAGAAGACTTGAATAAATGGAAAAACACATTTTTGTCTTGAATGAAAGATGTATTGTGAAAATGTGAAAGATTCCTTAAACTTACCTATGTATTTGCCACATACATATAATAAACCCTTCTGAATTGTAGGGCCCTGTTTTACACTTTCCCAACTCCCAGCTTCCCCGCCCCCCGCATAACACATAGAGTGAGATTAAATTATTTCTGTAATTATGTGTTTCAGGATGCTTACCCACTACACTGATAAGCTAAGTTCATCTGTAAAATATAAAAGTGAAAATAGCCTGAAGTAAACTACTAAAATATAACCTTATCAAGTAAATATATATATATATATATATATATATATATATATATATGGGGCAAAAGTAGGTTTACGGTTGTTTGTATGGAAAATAATACAATAATTAATAAATAATAATACAAGAATAAACTGTTTTGCATACTCACAACTATAAACCTACTTTTTCCCACTCCTGTATTTAAGTTTCATATGAAATCTAAAATGATATTCAGACAGCTACTCGGGTCTTCTCCAAAATAAACACTCTTGGTAATATAAAGAGAATCTTGCTTTCAAGCATTCTGACACTTATTTTAAGATGGCAATTGAAAAATCATGTAAAAACAACTAAACATTTTCCCCTGATACAACACAAATTTAGAATAAATCAATCCATTTGTTTGGACAAGATTTTTTTAGACATTCTATTAACATGATCAGTAAATGCCATTTGTATACTATTGGCCATGTGTCAAGATTTTCAAACTATCTCTTTTTTTGTTTCAGGAAATGGACAGTTTTTGTCTTTGATAGCTCCTTCTTCCTGATTCTGCCAGACAATATAAGAAAGCTGTTAATACATTCCAGCTGCACTTCTGAAATCCACAAAACATACAAATATTAAGCGTCTCGCTGCTCTTACTGTCACCACAGCAAAAGGAGCAAAATAAAGGAACTTAACCAAGAGCTTTTCTTACAGCGAGGCAAATTATAGCATCATATAAAATAATGAAATGTTCTTTATGAGAAAACGAGTGCTTTAGCAGACCCTGAAGTATCAGGGATTAACTGGCAAACCCAGGCCTGGCTTCACCAGCAGGGCAAGCGAGGGGACTGTCCGCACTTACCCTGGAACCATGTGAGGGTGGGAGGTTCCCAACTGGCTCTTACAGACCCATAAAGTTCTTCTGGAAGCAGTGGGGTGAGCCCCATGTGTGTTCCCTCTGGGTAGAGCCTCCTGCAGGAGGGGAGATGAGAGGGGCTGAGTCTCCCTAGAGCAGAGGTTCTCAACCTGTGGGTCACGACCCCTTTGGGGGTCGCACAACCCTTTCACAGGGGTCGCCTAAGACCATCGGAAAACGCATATATAATTACATATTGTTTTTGTGATTAATCACTATGCTTTAATTATGTTCAATTTGTAACAATGAAAATACATCCTGCATATCAGATATTTACATTATGATTCATAACAGTAGCAAAATTACAGTTATGAAGTAGCAACGAAAATAATTTTATGGTTGGGGGTCACCACAACATGAGGAACTGTATTAAAGGGTCGCGGCATTAGGAAAGTTGAGAACCCCTGCCCTAGAGGTTCCTGCATCGTCCAAGAGCCCGTGGCCCTGCTCTGCTTTAGGGACCTTATCCCCAGCCGGCTATGTGTCTGGATACCTCAAAGTTGCCACCATTCCTACCTCTTCTCCAGGCCCCTTCCTTCTAGCTCTGCC